TACCACTACGGCCTCCTGGTAGCTGACATTCTGATTGCCAATACTTTATACAAACATAATTGTTTCCAAGAGAAACCTTTGTGGTAAGTATTTCCTGTGCATAAAGGCAACTGACCTCCTTTTGTTTGCAGGGGAAATTTCTGAACCAAGAACACCAAAAATTCTTATTCAGTATCTTTTTATCATAATAATGTTCATAATATTCTGAATACTGTTATAATAGGTTACAAAGCAAGCTCTATAAAGAATGCATTTACTGTTTGAAAGAGTTTGTATTTTAAGTCTTGTATTAATCAGCAGATTCTATATGTATTTTAAAATCAAGAATCTTTGCTGTATAATCTGCTTATATTAACAACCACAAATTCAGTTACAGTATTCAATGACACAAATAATAATATCATCTTTTTCAGCCACTATAATCATTAGCCTGACTTAAATGTGTAAAATTCACTCAAAGATGTTCCGTATCTACTCCTTAATACAAAAGTGAGCCACTGGATAAACACAAGTACATGACAGTTCTTTTATTCCTTCAACACACATGCACTTAATGCTCTGGCATTACAAAAAAAAAAAAAGAGTTATAGCTCAGGGAAAAACATCCAATTAATAGCAAAAGCAGATATAAAGTTATGATACTGCTTTGCAAGTACATTGTAGCTATACTACTTTACAGCTATGTAGTTCTGTGTTCAAAAATGACAATCACACAGAGGAGGAAGTGATACGATGTATCCGTTCTTGTAAACCTACTGAAGTAGTGAGACTTTAAAAAAAATTTAAATTTAGGTGGTATAGCGAGACTCCAATGAGTGAAAAGGCCAAACTGATGGGTAACAATGCCACGCCAAGTGATAAGTCTCTCCTACAGTTAGAATTGTCTTACTTCTTTGAACCTTCAGAGAAAGGTTTAAGAAACAGCTAATCTTTTTGATTTTTTAAACTTTACTAAATGGGGATAAGTAGTTTTTTAATTATTTAGATTTGGCATTTTGTTTACAAGCCTATATTTGAATGTGATGGTGATGAGGCAAACAGGCTCATGTGTCAATGTTACAACATACAGAAAACTTTTAATCCTTAGTGGCTTCATTTGCTGTTCTATCTCTGTTCTCCCACTGCATTCCTCCAATTGGTCATTTTCCAGTTCTCTTGATGGGAGTGGGTTAAGGATGGGGATAGGGTAGGAATGAGGGTGATGAAGGAAGATATTACATTGTAAACATTGTACTTATATCTTCCACACTTTCAGAGAATATGCTTTCCTTTTCCTTATTTGCCATCACTGAAGAGAGTGTTTAAAATTCATGTTTAAAAATGCAGTTTAAAATTTGGTGTAATAACTTGTATTTAGAAGAAGACGGGGAGAAGTGTTGTTAGTGATATCACCAGGGTTGGTGTCTCCCAGTGCAATAACCAGTAGGCATGTGCCCATCCCTGCTGTCTCTAGTCCTCCATAGCCTGGTGCTACTGAAGAAAGTGGCTTCCCACCAGCCCAGGAGAAAAGGAAGTGGGGTTGGAGCTACTGCCAGCTTGCTCAGTTTCCCCAGGGATCTCTCCCTCCCCAGGGACCTCCTCCTGTACTAGATCATACAGAATCCTTAGTAATGTTTATTATCAATTTTAACCATAGATTGATATGTGATATAGTTGTATACTACATTGTTTAAATTTAGTATTTCTTAGATTGTATGAACACTAACAACAACATTGTTTTAGAAAATCTTTCTACATCAAATTACAACATTATTAGTGATCGAGTGGAAACCTGTTCTGATTTTTCTCCTTCTTTTCCTTTAATTACTACTTTATCCTCAAAAAAAGTTACTGGTATGGGATCACAAATACTAATTACCATAATATTGAAATGAAACAGCAGAAATTTGACAAAATCAGCAACTATAAAAACAACAAAAACAATAGCACATGCTTGTAGCATATGTGAACAAGACCACATAATCCCAAGCATCATTGTAATTGGGAAATAAAGACAGCTCTGATCAGAGCATATTGTAAGGTTCAAAAGGTAAATTACAGAGTTTCAGCCTCCTAGGCATATTGATCCATGTAAGTCAAGCTTAAAAAAAATGTTTTTGTGGTTATAACTAACTACAGAGATACTTTTATAAAAAATAACAAATTCTGCTGAAACTGCACAAAAGTTTTATAGAGGCATTTTGGTGTCACCCTCTCTGGCAGTTTCGCCAGATGTGGTCCATACCTCTCACACCCCTCTAGTGATGTCACTGAATATTTCCAAGTATATTAAATACCTGCATAGTATTTCCAGGTATATTAAACAAAATACTGTATATCTCCTTTCAAGGAACCCTAGTAGTGAAAGGGTTAAGTACTCAGCTGCTAACCAAAATGTGGGCAGTTCAAATTCATAGAGTTGCTATCAGTCAAAATTGATAACACTCAACCACATTGCTCTTTTCATAAGAGTGAAAAAAGTTTGTGTTGGTAGATAGGTATGTGGAAATGGAACTTTGGAGTGTTAGAGCTACATTAGGAGATACCAAAAACCAAACTCACTGCCATTGAGTACAATCCATCTCATAGCGACCCCTCCTTGGGTTTCAGAGATGGCATCTCTACAGAAATAGATTTCCCAGTCTTCCTTCCAAGGAGAGACCTCAAAAAACCAAGCAAACAAAGAAAACCCCTCTGCCATCAAGTTGATTCCACCTCACAGTGACACTATTGGACAGCGTAGAACTGCCCCATAGGGTTTCTAAGGCTGTAAATCTTTACAGAAGTAGACTGCTTCATCTTTCTCCTGCAGAACAGCTTGTGGGTTAGCCAACTTTTGGTTAGCAGCCAAAGCTTTAACCACTGCACCACCAGAGTGCTTCAGACCTCAAAGAAAGGCATGCATTTATCCATCAGGCTTCCATGAAATCTGGAAAAGGAAGAGAATCAGTCTTTTTACAGACACCCTCCCCCCCAAAAAAATAGAATGGTATCCTTATTCTGTGGTGGAATTTGATTACAATGTTAAAAATAAAGTTATACATTTCCCTACCACCACCTAAAAAATTAAATTAAAACAAACAAAAACAAAAAATCTAATGAATGTTTCCTTAAGTGTGTTCTACCTATCACCAGAATAACCTCTGGTGATTTTTAACACATGTTCCACTGAAACTAACTGCACCTTAGGGCAAGAAGGCAGAAATCTACATTATTAACAATATTTCAGGGTATCTTTATGTATAAATAACCAAAACCAAACCAATTGGCATAGAGGTCATTCTGATGCATAGCAACACCATCTGTGTCAGAGCAGAACTGTGCTCCATAGGGTTTTCAATGGGTGATTTTTCGTAAGTAGATTGCCAGAGTTTACTTCCTTGACACCCCTGGGTAGAAAGAGAGAGAGATAGGGTGAGCACTTAAGAACCACTATTCTATAAGCATGACCCAGTACAGCCTTCTCAAACTCTGGCATTATGTGTTATTCTAAAAAATTAAATGAAGTATGTGGCAGAACCAAAAACCCAAGCATCAGTAGAATGATTGTCAACTGCAAGATAGTCATATAGTTGAAGAACATTTTAATTGAATCACTCAAAGAGTATCAACCTAGGCTACTTCTAGTAACTAGATGCACTGAACTCAAACTTGGAAAATTTTCCAGGAAGGTGGAACTACTGTCTTTTAAATACTAGTGGATAATCATTGGTGCACCACTCTCGCAATTAAACTCTCACAAGAAAACAAAAGTAAATAAAGAGATATATCTTAGAAATATTAAGGTTCAGAGTATTAGTACCAATAACGCAATATATTTTTTCATAATAATTGTGTATAATAAAAGCAGCAACCTCTTTTCTTTTCCTCACCATCATCTTAAATGTGCATATAGTATAAGCTACATACTTATCTTCTTTGTGCAATTCTCATAAATGCCTAAATCTCACTTCATAATTTTCACTGATCTTGAGAGAATTAGTGTGTATCCCTATGACAGGCACAGACTGACAATTTTCTGCTATGAATAGAAATATCTTATTTTCTGGTGTCACAAGCCAGGGACTGCTTCCACCTTCAAGGGATTTGGAGGCCCTGCATGATCACAAGTGGCTTTGTGGAAATTCCTGGTTTTCTTCTTTCTCACCTAGTGTAAGAATGTCAGACTTGGTGTCATCGAAGGTCCACCCTGCTGTAAGTAAGGTTCTATGCCTGACAATCCATGAAAGAGATAGGAAATCCCTAAGACCAAAGTCTTCCACTTTCTATAATTCTGGCAGATTTCAAATTCTTTTACTTATATCTACAAGTGCCTTGAGAACTAAGCTGTAAGTCATCTATTGATCTTGAGTGCTTTGATTTTTTGAGATACTATTCAGGAACCTTTCCCACATATATTACCCCATTTGGCACATTCTGCCACTTTTCTTTGGATCACAGATCTTTCAGGAGGGTTTAAAGCTTTTGAATGGCATCATGGACATTTTTGCATTTTTTAAAAAATTTTTTCATAACATAGTATAAAATCTTTGTCTTGACCTTGGGTCCTGAATGGACTGCTAGTGTCCCAAAGGTAAGCACTCTGCTGGCAACTGAAAGGTTGGTGGTTCAAACCCACCCAGTCACTCAATGAAAGAAAGACCTGGTGATCTACTGCAAAAATGACAACCAGAAAACCCTATAGGGAAGTGCTGAACTGTCACATGGGATCACTATGGGTCAGAATATACCTGATAGCATCAAACAACAACCACAGAGGGACACAATAAAGCCATCCCAGAATTCTGTTAAGTAAAAGATCAATTAATTAAGCAAAGGGGATATTACATTTCTAAGTATAATGGATACCCAGGAAGTGGAATGCATGACCAGTTTAGGGAGCAAACCCACAAGCAGACATGTGGGTGGGTGGGGGCACAAGAGAGTTAGCAATGCATTTAGACTCGGCACTTCCTCTTGTGCCTACAGAACTTGAAGTTTGGTCTTATACACAAGCTTGGTGCCAAACTCTTTCATCTCTAATGGGCAGTCAAGTGACATATGTTGATTTAAACATATCCAGGGAGTCAGCCATTAGAGTTTCATCACCCCAATCTCTTCCTCAGGGTAAGTGGAATCATTTCCTTTTGCTATTTGTATAAGTCCCGGAGTTAGTTTTTTCCTCTAAAACTTATGGTTTTAAGTTGTTGATTTGAAGTTCGGCAGCAGTTCTCTTTTATTGTTAAATAGAGTTAGCATAGCTTGAGTTTAGGTAACCACTGGGGTGGAGAAGGATACCTCATCATATTTCATTTTTTTAGTCTACATAGTGTGAAACATAAACATACCTTCTAATGCCGCTGTCACTGTAGCTGCCTTCAAGTAAATTCCAGCTCATGGTAACTCCACATGTGCAGAGTAAACTAACCAATAGGATTTCCAAGATAGTGACCTTTCAGAAGCAGAACCCCAGGCCTGTCTTCCAAGATGCCTCTGGGTAGGTTCAAACCATCATCCTATTGCTAATAATGAAGTACTAAAGAAACATTTTACTTATATGAACAAAGAAATATTTTAAGGAACATATTGCAACCTTTCTGTAATAGCAACCTACCTTATGCTATATCTCTCTATAAAATATGAATTTTGTGATTAGATTCCAGTACATTTATATTCACAGCATTCTTTTCACACTGTGTTTCCAAGGCTGTAAATCTTTACAGTAGATTGCTTGATCTTCCTCCCACGGAACAGCTGGGGGGTTTGAACTGCCCACCTTCTGGTTAGCAGCCAAATGCCTTACCTACTATACCACCAGAGCTCCTTAATGGATCTGATAGTCATTCCATATTGTGCTAAGCATATAGATTATACCTTTTTAGAACTATTTCATTTAAGTTTGAAACTATTAAATTAGCAAAGTTCTATATCAGGAAGGAAGTCTTAGGATCATCAAATAACTTTCTCTATAATAATAATAATAATAATAAACTCACTGCCATCAAATCAGATCCGACTCATAGAAACCCCTCTTTTGGTTTCCAAAGGGGTATCACTACCAAAGTAGATTGCCCAACCTTCCTTCTGAGGAGTTGCTTGTGGGTTGAATCGCCAGCCTTCTGGTTAGAAGTCAAATGCCTTAAGCACTATGCCACCAGTGAAAATAAGAGGACTTTGATAGCAGCAGTGAAGATTTGGTCAAATCTCAGTCATTTTTTGATGGGAAAGAGCAAGAATTCTCCCATGTTCATATCTAGCAAATGGAGCAAGGGGAGGTTTTGAAAGGGGATGTCAGAAAGTGGATAAAAAGAAAGACATTAAGCTTTTCCTCAAAAGTTACTATGTTTCCAATTTAATGGGTCAAAAAATTAGTGATCATTCTTACAGAATGTCATCTTAAAGTAAATCTTAATTTTAAAATAATCATCATAATACACACACATACACACACATATAGTACACTAATGTCAGCACGAGATGGGTGATTACAGAACACTGGCCTGGCATTACAATTATTGTAAAACCTCAACTGGGCACTTTGGCCAAACTGTTGAGCCTTTTATAAATAGTGATTGTATCTAAAGAAGTCAGCAAAAACCAGAAAGAAAAATGTGAGCAGTGACCCAGTTTATGACCAGAAGGTCAAGAGCATATCTTTTAGAAAAATAAAGTGTTTGCAAAATTCCTTTACAGCTTATTCATTGGTTCAACAATGAGCACCTACTATGCGCCAGGCATGCTCTAAGTGCTGACAATAGAGCAATGAACAAAACAGAGAAAAATCCTTACCTTCATGGCTTTTATCTTATATTACTGTGGAGATAATCAATAAAGTTAATACGTATACATATATTTAAATATTGTTGTTGTTGTTGTTATGTGCCATCGAGTCAAACCCGACTCATAGCGACCCCTCCTTGGGTTTCTGAGGCAGTATCACTATGGAAGTAGGATTGCCCAACCTTCCTTCCGAGGAGTGGC